AAGAAACACGAATAATTATTATAATAATAATAATTTCTGCGCAGGGCAATCCAGTAAAAAAGTGAGTTTACTTATTTTACATGTACATAGGTATAAACAAAAGCTGCACATTATTCCATGTTCCATTTAGAGACCTATTACACCAAGCATTTGTTTTATACTACTGACCCAAAAAATACAAAAATACAAAACACAACTAGTGCAGAGGCATCTCCTACGCTGCAATAATAGTGTTTAAATCTATTTTACTACACAATCACATCATTTTACTATCTTAAACAAGGAGGACACTTTGTTTATTTAACATTTTATATCCCACTCTCCCATGCCACACATACATCATCTTCAATTTACTTTTGTTTAGATCAGTGCTGTAACTAGCATGAACCCACTTCTTTCTCTCACTGGTGTTGCTTGGGAATGCACTAATACTAAAATATGACTGTTTGAGTGCTGTAACACACAGGCCACTTCAGTTATAGCTGTGTGAAGCAGACGTGATTTAACATTGCAAAAGCTTGTTCGGATCTTAGGACAGAAGTGAGGTCACTCTAGGCCAGTACAGTTACCTATTATCTTGTCTATCATTCACACTTGGCCACGGGAGAACAGATCGCCAATTGCTCCACTCAAACAGGGACGGTATAACCCCTTGTTTCAGATGTTTATGTCTAAGTATATTTGGAGACCCATTTCAGTCCCCATGCCCTCCCTAAATCATGTTGAAAAAACTTAGACAACACTACAACAGAGTAGTGTCGCTTTTCTGCAGTAGAAAAAGCCACCAGCGCTGTCACTGGAATGCAAAATTGTGTGAACTGTCTATTATAACAAACATTTATTAAACATTTCTCATATTTTTATCAAGGAAAGTTATATCATTATGATTATTTTTATTGTTTTCTCGCCCAGCCCTAGGAGAAAGCCAAAACTTTTTTTTTTTTTGTTATGCTTGTAGCATTGCTGTTCTTGCCGTAATCTTTACTTGGCTGTAGTACCAGCCACAAAGCGTATGTTGTCCCAGAACGGCTCAGAGACATTTTATGGGACAAAACAATAACTTAAAAAGTAAGCAAACTTTCCTTGACGAATGATATTTGCTTTACCCAACCAGATATTTCAGCCATAATCTCAAAACACAGTGACTGCAGGAAAAAAGGGGACTGGTGGAGTTGGTTCTTGTGACATCATAAAACAATGGATTAAAAACAGACAGTTTTTGAAGCGTTTCCATATATGGACTGTATGGACTGGGTAGTGAATGGTACTTTTGAAACTTTAATGTTTACAGTTTACTCCAAACTTCTTTATTTCACAAAACAAAAGGAAATTGAGTTTTCCATGATATGGGCCCTTTAAAACTGCATGTTTGGCAGTAATTTGATTTTGTTCAAGGACACTGCCAGCTTTAACAAACGTTACTTGTTTAAACATGTTGCAAGCCAGATCAAAGTACACTGCTATGTGATTTCTCTTGTACATACAATTCACCGAGCATGTCAGAGAGAAGAGAAATAAGGAGAGAAAGAGATGGAGAGGACAGAGAGACAGAGGTAAAGAGGGGGCTTTGCGCTTTTGGCACAGATGAACACTACTAAATGTAAATATGGAAATAAGCTTTGCAGTATGTGTATGTCTGAATGTGTCTGAAACATGGTTGCCCCTGGCCATAATAACAGGTTTTTAATCATGCATTGTTTTTAAACACGTATAACCTTGTCCTTTTTTTAATTCACTCTCACTGCCTTTGCTTCACACATAAATTCAACCTTAAAGGGGAACTCCACTGATTTTTCAAATTTTCTGCCTAACTCAGCTGTTGAGATGTAAACAAAGCCATTCAGAGTGGTTTGATTCAGTTCACTGAAACTCACTCTGATTTTCCTCACCATGGTAGTAAGTTTTCTTTTGGCACTATTGTGCCTTATGATGGCCTGCTTGTATCTTTTCACCATAAATTGAAGAAAAAAATAAAACTATTGTAAAACAAGGTAATAAAGCTTTTAGAGAAACTAAATGCTTTAGATGTCTGGTTCTTTTCAAAAACACTGTGAACTTGGTTAGTTTCTCTAGAACTTTCATATCAAATTTGTGCATTTGTTTACATCTTAGTGATTTAATTATGCAAAATTTTGAACAATTGATGGAATTTCTCAACACATTTGACATTGACAATGGCATGCGATACACACGTTCGAATCACGAAATACTGCACACATCTGTGCACACAGCAGTTATTCATCTTTACAGTCTCCTTCATTCCATCCTCATGCACTCACATATGAGACTCGTATATCTTCAAAAAATGACTTTAACAGTGTTCAGTGCATTCAAACCTTCATAGACGCACGCATGCACACATACACACATACACACACACATTATGAAAAAAAGGCTGAACAAAAAGGTAGAGAAACTTACTAACTTTTTTAGTGAGTGAGTCAGTTAAGAGTAAGAGTCTTGCACTTAACTGACTCACTCACTGCAGAAACCTGAGTCAGTAAGTTCCTCTACAATGAACCATTTCACATTCAAACCACTCTGAATGACTTCATAGTTCAAATTTCATAGTTCAGTAGTTGAGATGTAAGCAGAGTGTTTTAATGTGAAATGGTGCACTGCAAAGAAATTTACAGTGGCCGTGATAAGAATGTGATCTCAATGATTCAATTATGTAGAATTTTTTAAAAAATCATTGCAATTCTCTTTTAAGCACTCCAGTCAGTAGGGCAACTAGGATTTATAGATCCCCGTGCAAAAAACTGAGTGGGGTCTCTATACAAAAACTACCTTCAGTGAATAAGATAATTGTGTAAACTGCCAGACACAGTGGCAAATAGGTTGTACTAATTGTTCAGTAATTGTAATTGTAACTAAAAACATTGTTTCTCTGAAATCATATTTTATGTGTTTAGTCACCATGACAACAGTTAGGATCAAATAACAGGACAAAAGCTATTACAGAATAAGAGTAAATTAATCTTATCTTAGCTCCAAAGAGGAAAAAAGTACTATAGGACTGGGATAACCACTGGGATAACCCCAGTGGAATCCTAACTTCTGTTGCTGCCAATAGCTATCGAATTAAAAATAGAATATTATTGTTTTAAAGCAACCATAGGTATAACAAGTTTACTAGCATAAATGAATTACTTATTGCAAACCTGTAGCATCACTTTCACTGAGAGTGAATTTTTTTTCTAATTTCTGATGAAAATTTGCAGAATGAAATATTGTAGGAACACTAGTGAATAATGAGGAGACAGAGCTGAATGTGCCTCTGTTTATTAGAAGGAAAACTGTCAGCTCAGTTTGCACATCAGCAAAAGCTTTGATAAATGGAAACAAATACTGAGGAGAAGCGACAACCCTTTTAGGCGTAGTCACAATATAATTTTTCAAGCTTCCAGTTATCTCACCTTTTTTTGTTTTGACATATTTACATTGGTAGCCATCTAGCTAACTAGACTTGTGCATAAAATGTACAACTTACATTTTTGGTTTTGTTGATTTAATTACATGTCTACTTTTCAGCTGTGTGCATATCGTTGATTGCTTGGTAACAGACAAAACAATTAAGATATGATTTGCTTCTCATATATGATAAAATTACAGTTAAATCATGTCTTAACCTTGTCAGATTTTAACTCAGAACAAAAAGATAGGACGTTTCTGTAATAAGGCCCCAGAGTTAAGTAAAAAGGTTTTCTGATGATTTAAATGGTCAAGACGTAAACAAAATCAGTGGTTTGATGTGAAATCCTCTGTCAAAATTGTTCACAGTAGTGGTAATAGGAATCAGAGATCTGAAGACTTTGATGCCTCTAATGGTTACTGCACAGAAAGTTATTATACGATCTGTTTATGAATACGCTGCCTGATGCCTGAGACTTTGTTTTACTTGTTTTGGGAAGGTTTTGAATTAAAAAGTATTTTCAAAATCCATTCATGGCAGAGAAGTGCATGCATGATGTTGTGAGGCAAAATAGTTTCTGAAAAAAACTTCTTTTTTCAGATTTACATATAAAAACTACCCACACACTTGTATGTACACTGACGGCTAAAATGGCTATATTTGTTTTGTAGACATTGTGATCCCTGGTTCCTATCACCACCACTATAAAGAAATCAAAGTCAGTATGCTCCTCTACAAATAACCATTTTGCATGATACTACTCTGAATGACTTTGTTTACATCTCAATCACTGAATTATGCAGAAATTTTAAGAAATTGGTGGAATTCCTCTTTAAGATCTCACATCTCTGCCCTGTACACACACCCACACTATGTCACATTGTGAGTCAACCATGCACATTCTCTCAAATCCCATATTCACACGCTTTAACATATATATGATGGGAACACATAATTGTTAAACACCCATTAAAGCGGTACCATGTCGCGGAATGGAAAGATCACTACACTGTAAAAGATTTCCTCAATCTTAAAACTTATAATCACATTTGACAAATCGGCATTTAACACAGTAGAACTGCTCCAGTGTAATCATGCTTGCCTCAGCAGTAGTGAGCATTCACCATCCCTGTACACCATGGCTTAGTTACCAGTGCAAAATAAGATGAAAGTGTGACACTGGAACATGGGGTGACAGAACAAAAAAGGCATTCAAGACAGAAGGGAAGAAAATGTACTTCTTCAAAGATACTCTCAAACTTTTTAGCATAAAATAACAAAAAAAAAAATAAAAAAAGAAAGAGGAAAAAAATGAGGAGCCAAAACTATTCCTGCACTCCACCAGGACATTCATATTCAGACAGTTAAAGCTTCAACACGAGTCAAAAAAGGTAAAGCAACAAAGCTGACCCTCCTGACATAGGAAGCCATGCCTTTCCTCACAGACGGCTCATTGAGCTCAACTGCTGCTGTCTGGAATGGAATGCAGGCAGTGTCGAGGCAGTCAATGAGGTGGCAGCATATAGTGTATAAAGCCACGGAGAGCATAGAGTGCAGTGACGGGGCAAAACAGGTGGACTCTTACTTTGGGGGTGGGGCAGGAAGCAGTGGAGAGGCGGGACTGCTGAGCACGTGGAGACTCTGAGGGCGTGGTGCTGAGAGAGGCTGTGTCCCGTGGCAAAACCTGAACGCCCCGTGATATGATAGAGTCTGGAATCTATAAGTAAAGAGACATTACATTTAAGCATATATTACATATACAAAATATAAAATATACAAAATATACAAAAAACTATGGCCATAATATCACTGAAAACTGAAGTTGACCATCTGGCCTGGTTGCTTTTTCCTCACCATACGCTATATAGCCAAAAGTATGTGGACACCTGATCATCTCACCTACATGAGCTTGTTTAACATCTCATTCCAAAACCATGGGCATGGGCATGGCATGCCCCCCTCCTTGAGGTCAGGGCTGTGTGCATGCCATTGGAATTCCACTAACAATTTACAATACTGTTTTATAGTTAATAAATAACTAATCAGGAACTAATTAGGAATGAATGAGTAGTGCTGCATTAACATGTAAATAACTACACTTAACTACTAAGGACTCTTAGTTAACTACTCAGTAGGTAACAGTGAACTAATGATTAGGGTAGTTCACTATTAAATAAACAATAACTACTGAGTCTCATTGAGAATTACTTACTAACTATGGTTTCTTAGAATAACTACTCATAAATTACCCATCAATTCAACATTAATTGCTTAATAGCTGAGTCTGACAAGGTTCCTGCAGAACTACTAACTGATGTAGTGTATTTCAACACTTCTAACAGTAGTGAAATACAATACACAGTGTGCAGTCTCTACAATATAATGGATTATACCCTCCATTTCTATTCACCAAAACAGGTATCCTCAAAGAAGGCTGGGGCATCACACCAGACTGTAATGATTGGTATCCCTCTAAGGGGACAAATACTACACTATTCAGTAGTTCAGTCTGTTACCTCTCATCTAAAGAAAAGAAAACACCATTCTTTTCTGCAGGAGCACATGTGCCAGTGTTTCTTCTGAACAGTAGTTCTCCTTTAATGTCCTCTTGAGGGCAGGGTCAGTTGAAGAGAGGGCTCATGGAAATATCTGACTGTGTATGTGTCCTGCCTTCAAATTCACTTGGTTCTACATATTACCAAGTGATTATGTAATTATTGTCTGTTAGATAATGAATGAGGTGTTGCTGTTCTTCATCAGGAGCTAATGATGATCAGGAACAAGATAGAAGAAACAATGGTAACTCATTATTAATGAACTAGGAGTTAATCATGATCTGGAACAGTATTATAAAGTGAAACACATGGTAACTCACTATTAATGAACTAGGAGTTAATCATGATCAGGAACAGTATTATAAAGGGAAACACATGGTAACTCACTATTAATGAACTAGGAGTTAATCATGATCAGGAACAGTATTATAAAGGGAAACACATGGTAACTCACTATTAATGAACTAGGAGTTAATCATGATCAGGAACAGTATTATAAAGTGAAACACATGGTAATTCACTATTAATGAACTAGGAGTTAGTTATGATCAGGAACAGTATTATAAAGTGAAACACATGGTAACTCATTATTAATGAACTAAGAATTAATCATGATCAGGAACAATATTAGAAAATGAAACATGGTAACTCACTATTAATGAACTAGGGGTTAATCATGATCAGGAACAGTATTATAAAGTGAAACACATGGTGACTCATTATTAATGAACTAGGGGTTAATGATGATCAGGAACAGTATTATACGGTGAAACACATGGTAACTCACTATTAATGAACTAGGGGTTAATCATGATCAGATCTGTATTATAAATTGAACTACATGAAAAAAGTAAAACCCCTAAAGAAATTATGTACTGTAGTACAAAAAATATTAGTAAAGACATTTTGAGTAAAGAGTAAATAAGTTGTTTATTGAATCCTTTTTTATTTGTGAACAATCCAAATGTGAAAACATCCCTGGGTTAGCTAGCTATATCACTGAAAATAATACACCCAAACAAAATGAAATCAAACTCTGTCATAACTACTGAAGGAGGAAGTCTGAGAGCTGAGACCAATCACAGTATATTCTGCTAGTACATTAGTTACACACATTTCTGTTTCATATCTGAGGCACAACGTTTTACTGCCTATTAGCTTAGCTCACATTAGCTAAATTAACTAGCAAGCTAGCATGCACTCATAATAGAACATCAGCAGCAGCTTTAGGTTTAATAAAGCACTAACATGTGCTTATAATTCTGAAACAACATGGTAAAATAGACATTGTACAAGAAGACCGTACCTACTTAGCTGAGATTAGTTAGCAAGTCAGTTAACTGTGTATCTACATTAGTGCTGCAGTCTGAATAAACCCTTGAATCTGAAAGTCTCACATTAGTGGCCCGGGGGTCTGCCATGAGTCTGATTCACTCATCACACATCAGGAGATACAGCGAGTCAGAATTAAAATATGAACAGAATTATCAAACTAATGCACTGAGAACGCAGATTAACTGCTCTCCTTTTCCAGCACTAGCAAAAACTTCATGGGCGCTCAACAGAAACGCCAAGTAACTTATTTACAAAAAGTAAGAGTAAATAAGTAACTTATTTACTCTTACTTTTTTCAAAATTTCTTTATTATTAATTTTGTACTACAGTACATAATTTCTTTAGGGGTTTTTTATTTCTAATGTAGTTCAATTTATAACACAGTTCCTGATCATGATTAACCCCTAGTTTATTAAAAGTGAGTTACCATGTGTTTCACTTTATAATACTGTTCCTGATCATGATTAACTCCTAGTTCATTAATAGTGAGTTACCATTTGTTTCACTTTATAATACTGTTCCAGATCATGATTAACTCCTAGTTCATTAATAATGAGTTACCATGTGTTTCACTTTATAATACTGTTCCAGATCATCATCAACTCCTAGTTCATTAATGATGAGTTACCATGTGTTTCCCTTTATAATATTGTTCCTGATCATCATTAACTCCTAGTTCATTAATAGTGAGTTACCATGTGTTTCCCTTTATAATACTGTTCCAGATCATCATTAACTCCTAGTTCATCAGTAATGAATTACCTTGTTTCACTTTATACTGTTCCAGATCATGATTAACTCCTAGTTCATTAGTAATGAGTTACCATGTGTTTCACTTTATAATACTGTTCCTGATCATGATTAACTCCTAGTTCATTAATAGTGAGTTACCATTGTTTCATTTTATATTGATCCTGATCATCATTAGCTCCTGATGAAGAACAGCAACACCTCATTCATTATCTAACAGACAATAATTACATAATCACTTGGTAATATGTAGAACCAAGTGAATTTGAAGGCAGGACACATACACAGTCAGGTATTTCCATGAGCCCTCTCTTCAACTGACCCTGCCCTCAAGAGGACATTAAAGGAGAACTACTGTTCAGAAGAAACACTGGCACATGTGCTCCTGCAGAAAAGAATGGTGTTTTCTTTTCTAAATATGAGAGGTAAGCAGACTGGTCTACTGAATAGTGAAGTATTTTAGCAGTTGTCCCATTTATAGGCTGATGTGCAAACTGGTTCACACTGCAATGTACATTAGCCTTTTAAGGTTTCTGATCAAAACAAACACATGAGGGATACCAATCATTACAGTCTGGTGTGATGCCCCAGCCTTCTCTGAGGATACCTGTTTTGGTGAACAGAAATGGAGGGTATAATCCATTATATTGTAGAGACTGCACACTGTGTAGTGTATTTCACTACTGTTAGAAGTGTTGGAATACACTACATCAGTTAGTAGTTCAGCAGGAACCTTGTCAGACTCAGCTATTGAGCAATTAATGTTGAATTGATGGGTAATTTATGAGTAGTTATTCTAAGAAACCATAGTTAATTCTAGGTAATAGAAATTCTCTATGAGACTCAGTAGTTATTGTTTAGTTAATAGTAAACTACCCTAATCTTTAGTTCATTGTTACCTACTGAGTAGCTAACTAGTAGTCCTTGGTAGTTAAGAGTAGTTACTTAAGCATTAATGCAGAACTACTTATTGGTTCCTGCTTGATTCCTGATTAGTTACTTATTAACTATGAAACAGTATTGTAAATTGTTAGTGGAATTCCTTCACGCCAATGTCTTTATGGAACTCACTTTGTGCACAGTAGCACAGTTGTGCTGAAACAGAATAGGGCCTTCCCCAGACTGTTGCCACAAAGCATGAAGCATATAACTGTCTAAAATGTCTTTGTAATATTAACAATACCCTTCACTTAAACTATAGGGCCTACCCCAAGCCCTGAAAAACAGCCACAGACCATTATCTCTCCTTCACCAAACTTTATTGCTGGCTCTATGCATTCAAGTAGGTGATTCAATACTTCAGAGAATTTGAGTCCAGTGATGGCATGCTTTACACACCCCCAGTACCGGGAGACACATCCAACTTATTATCTGCAGTAATCACCATTATGCTATATGTGCAGAAGATGGTTGCTGTTTTTCTGTTTTGTATACTAAACATTTATGCAGCATTAGGAACATTTCTACAGCGTTAGCATCAGTTTCTCAGAAATGCTATAGTTGTTGGCTGGTGAGAATATATACATTACTCACTGTCTAAGAAGACATTAAATCTGGAAACCTGCAAAAAACCACCATGTAAACTTTAAGTACAATGTGGGTTTAAGTAGTCTAGACAGACAGTGCCTCTAGTCTTATGCTGTGATCTGCAATTCTAGCAGACAATACGCAGTGCTGCCTGGGAGAACCAAACTAGGATTAAGAGAGAGTGTGATGGGCCAAAGAGCCAGCAGCCCAGGGACCTTACGTAACAGAGCCAAAACTTAGCATAACGCTAATTAACGCTGGGGTTAATGTAAGGCCTCACAGGAAAGAGCAGCTCTAAAGCTGCTTTAATTCCCTAGCATGCTAGCAAACCCTGTACTAATTATAACACTCACTCCCACCTAGGCCATCTCAGGATGTCCATGTTAGGAGCAGTCCCAGTGGACAGCACACAACTTTGCCCTGTCTAACACCATTGCAATCGCCATTTTAATTGCATTGTAACAGCTAATAAGAGAGATACTGAATCAGAAACAGAATCACCTTATTTCACCAAGTATGTGAAACATGAAGGAATTTGTCTTGGAGAGTG